TTTCATTGTTTTCTAATTCCAGGAAAAACTTCGCATAAAAAGAATAAAACACAACRGTATTTTAAAGCAGAATGGAAATGTGCTTCTGGGCTTCAAGGTCTAATCTATAAATGCATTTAGCTCTTGATCTGCCAAAACAAAAAGTTAGCAATATATCCTCTTAAACAATATGGAAAATCTGTAGACCTGAGCTAGCCCTGACTCAATATCACAGTAAATATCACTCTATGGTACTTTACACATTGAGCACATAATATCATGAGGCCCAACACAAGTTTTGCAAAAAATTATTCAACACATCTCTGTTGTTACAGTGAATCTGCAACCATCAAGAGAAACAAGAGTGAGCAATACTGCCATCCTCTCATTTARCCAGATCCAGATTACCTGGCAACATAGACACTGCATCTCTAGATTTCCTTGTTACTATAATATACCTAAGTATTTTTCAGCTAGCTTTACCTGTTTTGAAGAAGTACAATACATCTCTCTTCCAGCTTTACAAGAAAKAAAAAAAACCAATTTGGTCAATCAAATATTGACCAAAAATACTGATTTAAATACACACACATATAAAATTATTTTCCCTCTTTGAATTTCACATATGATGATTTATTCGGTCAGTATGTCTATGGACAATTCTCTACAAACTGCTTTAAGTATGCAAATGTTGGCTCAACAGCTTTCTGTAGCCCACAAAACTGCTGAATATCAAAGTTTCTGTGAGTGATTTGGTGTCCTATATATAAAACTGTAGATTGTAGCACAAGGCAGTAACTGTCAAAAGACCCAGTCTAATCTTAGCATTCAGTAGTTTATAATCAAGCATGGGGGTTTTTGCTGGTTAGGGACACATTTTGAATGGTGTCACCTGCTTTCTTCTTTGAATCATCGGTAAAATGAAACATTTTACTGAAATGAACTGAAAATGAAACATAAGAACTGCTGGAAGCTCTGTTCTACTGGGCTGTGCTTAGAGAGCAAGAAAGCTGCCMTACAGTTACATACACAAGATCCTTCTTTGATGAAATGCAATGTTCCAATGTTTCTGCTAAAAAACAGCACATTTCTCCTCTATCACTTGTCTTTTCCCTCCTCTGCACAGATGATCACGTTGTTACTGCAGTTGTGCCACACCTTCTCACTCATTTCCGGTTATGTTTATGAGTTCACAAACCAGTATTTAACAATAACTTCCAGTCCTGCTTGTTTGTTTCTTGAATGTGTGTACGAATTAGTTCAGGCAAGCACCCAAATGGATGGATGCAGTCAAAGCCAAACTCGTGTAACCTGYGCTCCAAGCCTCAAGCCCATCCTGACAACATACACAAGTGAACACCGACTCAGAAGCTGTCTCCGGGGAGCACTGCTGTTAGCACAAAGCTAACAAGTCCTGCTACTTACCACATGATTAGACTTTTTCTGTTTCAAAGAATAGTATTKTCTAGCTTTACCTCATAGAGGAAACACTGACAAAAAGAAATGGTACAGGACTGGGAAACAAGACTTAGTTCTATCCCTRTTTTGCTACTGGACTGTGGACAAGTTTAGCTATTGATTCCCATCACATCATTTGTCTGYTTTATTCATGTATACTGCAAGCCCTGCAAGGCAGGGGATCTCTCCTATAAACTGCAAAGAGCTTCTTCACACAACAGGACTTTGAGTTCTCCAAGAAAGAGSAAGTCTGTACTAATATAATACTATTGTTATTACCAGTAGTAAATTTCAAATTGCTTGCATTGAGCAAAATTGTTTATCAATATATATTAAATACTTTACTACAATAAGCTTTGCTAACTAATTTTGCCATTCTCAAAGGTAATAACAATACTGTAAGCAGCCACTTCCTGTTGGAACACTTCAAGGTCCCTGATACACAGCTACCTCCTATTTATTCTGCTGGTGACTCTGTTTTGGTTCTGTTATTATTTCCATCTTAGGATTGCTACAAGATCTTTCCACTATTCTCCCATACTCAGGACAACCTTTTGAAAGAATTACTGGTTTTGGGTCTTTATTAATTAATAACCTCTACTCATGCCAAAGTGAACTGTAATCAGCAGGGAGCTCTTCATCATTCTTCAGAATGTTTAGCCCCCTTAAAGTGACACTGTTTGCTATGCTTTTAAGAATCAGCTTATTTCTCTAACTCCTTCTTATGAGATTCAAATTTGCAGGTCTCATTCTTCAACCAGTCAGTACCAATCTTTGCTCATCATGGCTCTAATTTCACTATTTGTCCCTTAGTCACTAGCTTAGATACTGATCTCCCCCGTGCACAGTGGAATCAGTGTCTAATCTTCCTTTCTTTTTTCAAGGACAAAACACTTATCTGTGGTAACAAATTAAATGTCTCCACACATATTTCACTTCTATCCCTGCTACAATTGTTTTTTTACTGTTGTTGATATCAAATTACTTATTTAAGATCTTGACTTGGCACTTCCTTTCTTATAATAATCTCTCTTTAACATCTGTCCATTTCAGCTTCACTTATTTTTTACAAGTTTCAGCTACCAGAAAAGATTTTTCCTTCTCTCCAAACAGGAAAACAAACACAGCTTTCACGTTTTCAGTTATGTCTTTTATTGGCTKCCAGAGATTCTAAGGTAGCTGTCAAGCCAAATCTAGTTGTTCTGTGAGCTGTGAAACCAATAAAGTTTGCTGTCCTGTAGTATTTCCTATATCTCTGCCCCATACTCCTGCAATTACTACAGATTTTCTCATGTCCTCTATAATCTCATTATCTGTAATACCATCAGTTCYTCTTGACCTCCAGATTTTTCTACAGAACCTTGGGCAAATAAGTTCAAAAGTAATTTATGAACAATGAAAGGACAAAATGGTTTCAGTAGAAATTCTACRTTACTATAAAATGAAATAACTTTAAAGCATCAGCTGAGTGGAATTTTTCTTATTTTGCATGTAAATCCATAGATCTAAATCAGAAGAGTTAGTTAATTTGCTCCTATGGGATGTTAAGTCTGAAATTACAGATGCACCATAAACACCAGCAGTTAGTATTTCACTAGCACCCCAGTTTTATTAGGACTAAGCTTCTTATGCAAAAAAAAAACAGAGAGCTTACCACAGGAACCCAAGCACCTTAAATACTCAACCGTTCTTTTGTTTCCACAATAAATAAATATACATACACAATTATGTGACAGGAAAAAATGCAAATGTAGATGTAAAGTAGAACACATTTAATCAAATATCAAGAATAAAAGTGTAGTTGATATATGCTGATGATACTATTCATTGCAATATTTAAGACACCTAAACACAGAARTATGAATTGTACCATCTGAAACCGCTTTTGAACTTCCTATCTGCTTTAGAAACCAAGAGTCAAAGTAATGAATCTGGATTCAGTTTTCTGAATTACAAAAAATCTTGACTGGACATGATAATTCTGACATTCCAAGGAAATTATGTCATCAGCAGGTCTGTATATCAGGAACACAATTTTTAATTTACCCAGGCAACAGACTGCATGCTGTAGCCAACAACAAACTTGGTTGCAARTGTCAAACTGGGCTGGAAATCTGTGCTTCACGCTGACATTAAATGGCAGAAATAGCAGCACGTACAGCTGGTCAGGAAAAGTGAAGTGGTTCAGAAGCTTTTGRGAGAACAGACACCCCAGTCTAGCAACTGGCAACTGACAACTTCTACAATTCACATGTTTGTTTTTTTTTTTAATTCTTACACTTCCATTTATATATATGTTTTCATGTGTAAGCGAAGCACATTGCTGTTGATGAGGTGCAGGTATGCATTAACACTATTCACAGCTGATGCACTGGAGACTGACAGCAATCCACATTTCTACGCCTTCCTTTTTGTGCTGGAATTCCCTAAACCCTTTTCAAAGCAAAAAATACCATACCCAAAGAGAAACACTGATAGGTCGTCCATACAGGAGTGACTTTCTCAGGCTTAGCGGCCATTCTGACTCCAACGATATGTCTGCAATAGGAGCACCAATTAATCTGAATAGTTCTGCCTRTGAGGGATCTTTTATGCAATCACCTGCACTGCTACAGATCATCTGCAGCTCTTTGATACCACTGTAGAAGGACAGCAATTTCATTAAAGCAGTATTTGCACCCCACTGAAAGGCCAGTGGGCTTCCCCAAGTTTCCCAATAGTCTTAAATGTGTGATCTTAAGCTAAATCCTGACTAGTGGAATGAACTGCCAAATGCACACATAGGATAAACAAAAGGATAAACAAAACTATTTATAAAGCAACAGCAGCTGCACTGGTAGCAGTAGCAAAGAACAACTTGAACCCATTTTTCAGTGTTTCCCRCTGCTCTCTACAGATGAACAGCCCTCTGCAATTATCGAAGAGAACAGTTTGATAACCTTCAGGAGCTGAAATTCAGATATCTAGTTATAGCTGTTCTTCTGTACTCCCCGCTTCTCTTTCAGCTTCACACATTTAAGAGTTCAGTGGTTTGGAGAACACTTCTGTGGGCTTTCTGATCTGGAACCACCCCTCTAGAATCACACACCTGTGCAGGCACAGCAGCACACAGTGCAGCAGCAGCAGCCGTGTAGCCATCCTCCAGGGGTCACAATTGGGTTACAAATTCTAAAAAATGTGATGACTGTGCAGCCTGATTTAGAGCAATTTATTCACATCCTTCTTCATTAAGATTCAAATAGAATAAGTAAGATAGAAATTGAACAGATACAGAAATTGTGCATGGCTTGCTTCTGTAGTCAGTAAACATTTATTCACTAGGCACAGCYCTCTCTCATGCTCTCTCTCATATTCTCTCTCTTCCCCTACCCTTCCTGCTTGCTGTTTTAATGCATAATTAAGAAGGTCAGAATTAATGAAGCAGTGTGGAGTAAAGTTCAAGGAATCCCCAGGCACTATTTATTTTATTAGATCTCAGGCATGAACATCAGATTGGCAGCATTAGAGGCAGAGGCAGTGTAGCTGGCAGCAATCCAGGGAAGAAGCTACCAAGGGATTCTTACCTGCAGTGTCAAGTCATTGCTGAGCTCCCTCCCTGCAAAAATCACCCGCAGCTGGTCAGCTGGAACTCCCTGTCGCTGGGCAACTGCCTCCTTCAGCTGGAGGATGCTGGAATCCGAACCAACCTCCACCGGGAAGCCATGGCTGGAGTTGAACCTGACAAACACTGAACGAGAGCAAAAGATCCTTTTAAGCGAGCATTTCTCATGACATGTTTATATGCATTTCTCATGACATGTTTATATGCATTTCTCATGACATGTTTATATGCATTTCTCATGATATATTTATATGCATTTCTTATGACATGTTTATATTAGAATGATTGCTAGAGGCTTATTCTTTCATTCCAGGAAGTGTGTACTATCTTTAAAGAAAAGCTATTAATACTCCAGTGGAGTATTTTTAACCCCTCATGGAATAGTTAGTGATCAATAAACGAAATCTATGTGTTTCCCCTTAGCAGTGTTAGAAATGACACACAGCATTTAGAATCAAATGCAACCCAGCTAGGCAGCTGTCCATGTAGTTGCTACCCAGAACAATAGATTTTAGTTTAGTCCTAACCTTCACAGGCASAGGGCACATGCATTTTCTGTGCCCCTTGTGCTCTTTCCCAACATAACAAATAAATGCAGGAAACTGAAGTATGCTCTGGAACCAAAATACATTAAATTAAACAAGCAAAAACAACTCCTTGTTATAAGTTAAAGCACAGCCATACAGACTGGTTTCCCACAAATATAATTCTACAGAAGATAATGACAGAGAGAAAAATACATGCTAGAAGAAATCAGAACCACAGAATTCTGTATCTGTGAGTGTTGTATTACAGCACGGTCTTTTCAGAGTTCACTAAAATATCTGCAGTACATAACTCCTGTCAGCATCCACCTTCAGTGCAGAAAATCATTACTGCACCAGTCATATCATTTTTAGAGCTGCAGCAACTGGTTTATACACCCAGAGAAGCCCAGCAAACAACTCATAAGCTTCCTGCCATTCAGCTGGCAGAGCTGTTTTTCATAAGAAGTCTAAATGCAGTCATTGAGSCCTTGGTCAGAGGCATGACTGCAAGACCTATGAAACAGGAAAAAAACCTCCTTACATCCATATCAATCACAGAGATTGTATGTACAGTAGACATATTCCCAGTGGACTGCTTCMACCAATACCTTCACAGGCAGGAAGCAAAGGAATTAGCAAAACCCAATATAAAACAAAAAATCATTTATATCAATTATACCTGTCACCTAAACTGCTTGGGTATTGATTGCAACAACCAGTCTTTTTAATGATTTATTTCCCATTCCCACTGCAATGTTTTAGCTGAAGATGCTATTCCTTTGCATTTTTGTTGACTGACAGAAGCATAAGCTCAAAAGTACTTTTAAAGAAGTAACAATTTTTAAAACTAAAAGTAAGAGTTCTAGGAWTTTTCCAATGTACAGTCTACCTGACAACTCCAAAGGTGTCAGATCCTTTAAGAATATTTGAATATGGCTGAGGCTGCTACCATTGTTTTGCTTAGCCAGCAATGTTGTCAGTATTTGCAATTTCACATCTTCAGTTAAGATCTGGCTAATATTAAAGGGATAAGGCCATATTCCAATAAAATTACATGCAATGTTTTAATTTTTGTACTTGAAAGCACCCTCTTAGTGTACTAAAATGGGGGTAAGATTGAACAATGAGTGTTAGGCAGGTTCCTGAAGTGTGCTATGCAGTTTCCTGCAGCACATCTCGTTATGGGGTTGGATTTACTATTAAAGGGTGTTCTGGAAATAACTGTCCAAGCTGTATATTCAGACTGTTCAGAAGAATCAGGATTCTTACAGATATGATCTCATCCACATGTAAAATACCTACATATGCACCTCCAAAGAGCTCTTCCTAACTAATACATAAACCTCTTTCTCTTTAGTCTTGTAAAAGCCAATGCTATTGTTTTTGGAAATGAAAAAAAAAATGAAATAAAAAATCAGCAGATGCAGTGATAGCAAATCAAATGTGATGGTAAAAGAAAAGTGCTTAATAAAAGAAAATTTAAAAAGCACCATTTAAATTAATTGTACAGTGGTATTTATTTTTAAAGGCAGTATAAAGCAAACACACTTACTGGAAACRTAAGTCAAGTTTGACATCAAGAACGCCAAACCCTTCTCTCAAATAAATTTACTTTTATTCACTTACAAAAGGTATGTTCTCCTCCTCCCAATGTGTATGAGGTATCAGAAAGTCAGTCTCACAATTCTGACCATAAGTAAACATGGGAAATGAATGTGAGTGCATCATTTTGCACGCCACAGCACAAAAACATGAAGAGCTAACTCAGAAAAAAATGTTAAAAGGCCAAATTTGCTTGCTGAAAAATTCTAAGCCACAAATATTTTGCCCTTAGAACTTCTATTATATAGTCTGCTATCCAACAACTCTTTTTAATGTAAAAGAACCAGAAGAGACCTTCGCTTACTTGCACAGAACATAAAAAATGAATACAAACCTTCAGTCTGTGGAATAAAACCAGAATTTCATTAATAAAATATTCCAAGCTGYCATTTTAGGAAAAATAAACTTATTTTCTTTTTGACATTCCCTCTCAATAAATAATCAATATCAAGTTGATGATCTTAACAACACACATTATTCAAGAGATCACAGGTTTAGTTGTGCAGACATTCAAGACCTCTTCTAAAGAATACATACATTGAAAAGATTTAGAATTTAAAGTTTGTCTACTGGAATTTAAATAAATATTGGTTTAACAGAAGATTAAGGAATTTACCTGAGGCCTAAACTGCTGGCAGAAATCCAAAAGAAATAAATAAAGTTACTCAGATACAAATACGTGGGGCAGGTGTATAGGGGAGTTGCAGAATTTTGGTGAAGATTGGAAGAAACCTTGGGGCAAGCACCTCTGCCAGGATCTCAACAGGCCACATTTCAGAGCCCTGGGATTCACAGCCTGTCTTCTTTGTCAAGCCATATCAAAAGTTTCAAAAGTTCCAAAGCTTCAACCCCCATTGTTATCAATCCAACAGGTTTTCCAGTTCATAATGCAGAAGATAAATGTAAAATATTGGAGAAGCTGAGGCCTTGCCTATGAATAAACTGTGAAGGAACAGTGTTGATACAGAGAACCAAAGCAACAGAACTGCCCCAAAAAGTAAAGAAAGTTGTATACGTCTTTAAATTGATGCCTGCACAACACAAATTTCCTTTCTAGTTTTGATATAAAATAGCCAATTCTTTTTCTTCCTAAAGTAATGAATCACACAATSCTGCTTTGCTGCACACCGAACAAAAGCCATAATATAAAACGTATCATTTGTGACAAAAGAATGCACATATTTAAAATTTAAGATCTTGTTGATTAAGACTCAATTCCCCATTCTTCCTTTTGGAGAAAACAAAAGTTGCAAAAGTTTAACCTAAAGACAATGTAAAATATGGGAAACTTTTTTTTTACTTTTAAAAGCCCTTTTCCTACTGAGGTTGGGCAAGAAAACCTTTGAAATGTAACTTTCCTAACATTGGGCAAAAACAATGTKGTCACAATATCTATGTGTAGTGATCAGATCCTTTTTGCCTCAGCACATGACTTGAGAACACAACTCTTCTTAGTTCAAAAACCTACATCCAGACTATKTCACACTTGAAAGTATTATTCCTTCCCTTTCAGTAATAAATTTTTCTCAGAAACTGTGATTAATAATTTATCCAGTACAGCTAACCAGCTTAGTACAGATTAAAAACAAGAAAATGCACAAAAAGGATAAATAAAGCAAGAGAAGGTAGGAATCAAGACAATATAAAATCCTTGCCTCCTGATAAAGYACTGTAGAAATATTCTGGAAGTCCCACTATTATCACATAAGTGTGCATCAACTTTCAATGCACCAGATGAAGASAGCTTTTTCAAGTATCTTTTTAATTTCAGTGTATAAAATAAAAACATATAAAGCATATTTTTCATAACCCTGGGCCTTTTGGATCTTCAATCATACAAGACACTGTCCAAGCATTTTAGTCTTTACTCAATTAGCATWAGATATATCTCTAGACACTTTATAAAACCCAGTGAATATCAGTTGCTGCCTGGAATTTTTACAACTTAAATGTAGAAATGCAACTGTAGGATATATGCAGTGCGAGAAACTAGCAACTGAGCACAGGATGATGGGATGGCAATAAATCATATTCCACAACTTTTTATTGCTATTTCCTGGTGCCAGGGGATCTGAAAAAAAGGAAAGAATTAAAGCAAAARAMCAAAGAGAAACAAAAAATGGAAAAATATGAGTTGAAGAGACTGTGCAAACTGAGGTCAGGACTGCAAAGGAATTACTCAGAGTTGTGACAGACTTGTACTACACAATCAATCAGTGCATGTTAATGAAGGTCCAATCAAATGGTTAAATTACTTTGGGCAAAGTTCCTTGAACTTTGTATTTCCACAGCAACTTAAGCAGCCTGGAACTGATGTAGTTCTTTTCCTCACAGATCTGTGCATTTAGGTTCTGCATTGGAATAGGAGACCTCCCCAACACCTTTAGTTACCAAGAGCGCCAGAGAGCAGTGTGGTTCAGTCAGCTCTACTTCATTTCCTACCCTACTTCCACTGCATCAAGCCCCACTTTGAAGGCTGTCGCTGCCACAAAGCTCTGGCCAACTGGCTTGTCTGGCTTTTTCCTTGACATAAATACGTGATAAATAAAATCTCATCATCCTTGGAATAACCAGTCCCATAGCAATCCWTGTATCCCTTCATCAATTAGCAAAAATATCCTTAGCACTCTCCAAGAGAACTCTCCCAACAATGTCTTTTAATCAAAAACTTGCCAAATTCTGACAATTTGGAGCCAAGTTGAGATAGCAGGATCCCAAGTCTTGATGCCCTTGCACTGAACATTCTGCCAACAATTCCCTTCTTCCTTTAGAGAAGGAAATCCAACTACAGAACCTCTGCTGTCTACACAAGGAGGGAGAGTGTCTCAGAGATAAACGACTTCACAYATTTCTGTCTATATGGCTAAAAATCAACAGCTTGAACACTACCTCAGAATGAGTGGGTTGCTATTGCAGATATTGATGCATTGGTATGACACTTTCCTGGAAAATTGCCCTGATGTGTACTCTGCACCAGGTCCAGAGTGACAGATATAT